ACACACACACAAACACACACACACACACACACACACACGCATACACACACACATACACACTCACACACACACACATTCACACACACACCTCCATTCTGTCCTTTAACCCTCTATCATTAGTATGATGTCCTCTTTCTTTTCCTCTTCTTCAGTTCCTCCCCTTCCCCATTCTCCACCTTTTCCTCCTACTTCTCCTACCCCTTCGACCTCGCTCCTCCTCCTAGTCATGAACTATTTTGGTTTGTTTTTTTATTAAGAAAAAAAAGTGAAGTCGGAAATGATCCTATTCTTTTTTTTTCGGTAATTATAGATCTAGGACTAAATGTATATTTAAAAAAAAAATGATAATTCTTAAATCTGTTTTACTTACCTAATCTAGTTTTTACAGAAACGAATCGTTCAGTTTTAATTTTTCGGCACCTTCAAAACAAATAGGTCATATAAAGCATAATATACACGGTCTTTGATATAAGTGCTGGGGAAAAGGATTTTTATACTCTATTATAAGTTTTTTCTGTTCAATTTGTAAAAAAAACCGGAAGGCTTGGCTTTTGAGACAATTCGTAAATTCACAAAATTGCGCTGTCCCGATTCATTGAGAATTTCTCTGGCCGTGGCTTACCCCGATCAGTCGTCGGCTCATCAAAGAGTCCAGTTAAAAAGCCCAGTATTGTGTGACGTCATGTGACGTCACTTGGGGGTTCCCAGAGGCACCCCTGTGCGGTAGCCTTGGAAGAGAGAATGCTTCCGGGTTCGTTACCTCCCTTGGATGTCAGATGTGTGTATGTGTGTGTGTGTCGGCTGACGGTGAGAAGAATTTGTGGGTAGAACAACACAGTGGCCTTGATGTTCAGTGGCAGGTATGTGGATTATTTACCGTGTTATGTGATATAACTACCCTTTCCTACTGTCTCGTGTGTGGTGACGATACATGAGCTTCCTGGTTTTTTACTGTTCAGCAAACAGATCTGTCAATTTTTCATTGGAATGCCATTTTCATTTTGTCGTAATGGTAGCCTAGGTCTGATGTCGATATTTATAGACATAGATCTAGGCCTAGAGGAAATAGGTCGCGTCTAACGTAAGATTTCGCTGACAACACTCTCTGCTATTTTATGAGGTAAGGAAATATACACCCTTAGATATGCCTTGTGTGTAAGTTTGTACCTTGTCTCTAAGGAAAATACTCTCTAGATTTTAGATCTAATCGTAAGATGAGTTACAGAAGCCCATCGTTTGTTCAATACTTTGTTCTTCCGTGCTGTGCCGCAGACTGTACGTTGCCAGCTATACCTCTATAGATCTACGTGGGCGATGAAAACCAACTCTACTCTCTGTGCCTCCCAATGGGCTTTAGTCTAATAATTATGATTATTTTAAAAATTATTATTACTGTCTCCTTGTCCAACCGAGTTCATAAAGGTTCACACACCACAAATGACGTGATTTTCCTTTGTTCAGGACAATTTGTTTAGAACTGAATTGAAATTTTCCTTGCAAAAGCACTGCAGCTGTAGTAGCAGTGATTAATTCAGAGCCAACTCCTTGGCAACTAGATCTAGATCTAGATTCTAGTTTGCTCCAAATTTCTAAATAAAGTCATTGAAATATGAACTGATAAAACCTCAGTTCTGATTGAATTCGAGACAAAATTGTGAGGTCACTCTCAAAATTATTATTATTTTTATAATTTTTCGCTTTACTTTAGTTTTAGGCGCACCACGCCTATTTTCAATTAGATCTAGAATTTTAAAAAGAGTTTAAAGTAAAGTTTTATATCAGACCATGATCATGACACTAGCCTATTGTCATTGTCAGGTCTGATAAAGGATTGATGACTGAAGGTGTTTTGAAGTCGTGAAGGAGCCCAAAGGTTTTTTGTTTTTTTTAAAGAATAAAATTGTTTTACGGCGCTTGCAACTGCATAAGGTCATATGAGTGCACAGGACACGTTTAAACATTTTCAGTTGGTAGGAAATTTTGAATTTTGCCCGGGTGGTGGCCGAAGGAGCCTTTCATTTTTCGATTTTAGACCATCAAGGGATCTTTAACTTGCACACGCGACCTCCGAGATTTTTCGCCCTTGTCCGAGGAGGCTAGGTATAGATCTTTCTTACCAGAAGATAAGAGGTGTGGCTGAAAGACAGCAGTAAGAAGGAGCCAAGGGGAGAAGCAGTAGAAAGGCTTCAGAAAGAGTCAGGAACCCAGAGGAGGGGGCAAAGGAGGGGAGGGCAGAAAGGGGAGTCAAATGAAGACGACAGAACATTGCTAGAGAGCATGAAAGGAGGTGAAAGACAATTTTAGAGAATAAAATTTTTCGAACCCACGACCTTTAAATCGGAGGTGAACACATTAACCAACCTCTAGGCCACGAGACCCCCACCCAAAGGTCTACTCTCATGATGATGTAACTTGTGGGATACCAAACTTGTTTGAGTGAGGAAAAATGTTATTATATATTATATAATGCCGGAACCTGAAGTTTGCTTACAGCTTACGGTTACAGAAATTTTATTTTCTGTATTGCTACTGTAGTTGAAGGTCTGACGCTTTTGTTTACGTAAGGTAAAATTTATTTCACTGTAAAACAAAGATTGGTAAACTCTTGAAAGTTTTTGTAATAATCATACTCTCACTCAATGTTAGGGTACAGTGAAAAAAATGGAATGTGTGGGACAATTTAAGAAGTCTGACAGAGCTCCCATAAAATGTTATTACATGACATAAAATATACTCTTTTTTAGTTTAGTTTTAGTAGAGGTTCTACAGCGCTCGCAACTGCATAAGGTCATGTGAGCGGCAGAATTTACCCTAATTGAATGATTGTGAAAAGCTGTTCTTCAATTTTGACTCTTTATAAAAAGCATCCTCCTGTACTGTGTAGGTGTATTAATGCTGAACCACAGCTGTGGTGCTAAGAACTCTGTGAATTGTTATTATATCATAAGAAATGCAGCGACGGATTGTTCGCTGATTTTACGGTGCAATATCTCAGGCTGTTATTAAAAATATAATACTATAGTACTTGGCAGGCAGGCCATCGGGGGTTTTTTTTTGTCGTGAGTCTGAGAATTGCAGGATTTTAACTATGTAACACTATTCTCTTCTGTCTGAGGACCCTAAAGAAAATAAAACTACTGAGGAGGACTATTTAATATTTAATTCATTATTTTTACGATTAGTTTCACTTGCCTTTCATGTTATCCCTCTCACTCCTCAGCTTTTCAAAGCTGATGGTCGGTACATCGGGAGTATTTTCCCATTTTACTTTCTCTCTGTCAACTAATTCTGTTCGTTACGTAATATACGATGTAAGTAACTGTTTTGCAAACTGTTTTTTTTAAAGTGATTATTTATGATTTCTGTCTTCCTTGATCAGTGATACTGTCACTACTCCGTAAAGAGTCTGTCCTTTTTATCTATTTTTAGGCCAATATTTATTTTTTCAGTCTAGAGTAGAACTCGTTGCTGACTTTAGGAGTAGTAGTAGGTAATACATTTTCAAAGAAATTTTTATACTTACAGTAGAAGTGTATGTTCATATTTATTTCTGCTCTTGTAAACAAAAACAAAGGATATTTGAGACTATGCACAGGGTTCACCAGCGTTTTAGCTACATAGTTTTGTAAGTCGCTCATATTAAATGCTCTAAGGTTCTATATTAAGGGAGGGGAACCTTCAAATCGAGTGTTTATCAACTTTATCTCCACCACGACTAAGACGAGAATGTGGAGAACCTTTGAAACTACCGAAACTATCCAAAATCAGAATATATATATATCTCATGTGGATTCGAACCAGGGTCATCCGCAACATATTCTAGTCTGTTGTCATCAGGGTTGTCTTCAAACTCAGTTGTGACGGAGAAGATTGTGATGGAAGTAGTAGCAGTAATAATTTCAGTGGCTATAGGTGGTAATCACATTTTCATATAAATATACTACAGGGCCTGCTTAAACCGAACAGGATTTAAAATTTGAAAACAGTGGTTAAATGGAAGAAAAGAAAATTCCTGACTTTTCATTTCTGTTTGAGCAACCTCTCTAAACCAATAGCCCGGCTAAACAGAAGACAATCTGGTGGTCCCACAGATTTGGGTTTATGTGGACTCCATTGTAGATTTTTTGTACACAAGCTGTTTAATCTGACAAATTTTTGTAGCGCAGACAGCAGCAATGCTCAACTTGAGAACTGTATAGTCAACTGTAATTTGTTGTGATTGTTTCATACATTAAGAGCAAGCATTTTTTCCTGATATAATGTGCACTTCATAAGACAGTTTGTTTAAATTTTATGCTTACAGATGTGAGTTAGTAAGGACTTTTAAACAACTTTGGCTCTCATATGTATCATTTTGTGAGCTTTCTTAGCTTTACTGTAACGTTTATTGTTTAATTGCATACAGAAGAAATCAGTTGAATATCGTTAGTAGAGTTAAGTACCATTTTGGTAGAGAAAGACCAACTGAAAAACTATATTTGACTGTGTGTCCTTGAAAATCAAATGCGTTTGTTTTTCAAGGTTGTGAGGTAAATCGATTGGGCAGTGGCAAATTCGTAGCTTTTGCCCCAACCATGAAGGAAAACCTTGCTGGCCCCAACTCAATCCAGTGAATCTGATTGGCTAGTTATCTGGGTATAAGAGGTCAGGTGTCATATTCACTTTGTCTGGGATTTTACGTGCATCACGAACAGTAGGATAAGGACGCTCCATTGGTTCATTTTTTTTCTTGTCTGTGAAGCAGATGGCCCTGGTTCGAATCCCAGATTGGAAGTTCTCGAACTTGGGTTGTTTTGTGTTTTCACGGCTCTCAACCCCTTTAGCTCGAACCTATTGGAGACAGACGATAAATTCGGAGGTCTCGCCTTTTAAATTTCCTTTTATAAAGTGTTGATAGGAGCATTTAACCAAGACACTTTTTTACAGTTGGGTTGCAATTTGCTTTCTTTCATGTTATGTAAAGTACAGTCAAACTTGTTCTAGCGACCACCTGTCCAAGACAATCATTTACACAAACGACCACCTGTCCAAGACAATCATTTGTACAAATGACCACCTGTCCAAGACAATCATTTGTACAAATGACCACCTGTCCAAGACTATCATTTGTTCAAATGACCACCTGTCCAAGACTATCATTTGTACAAACGACCACCTGTCCAAGACAATCATTTGTACAAATGACCTCCTGTCTAAGACAATCATTTACACAAAGGACCAACTGTCCGAGACAATCATTTGTACAAACGACCAACTGTCCAAGACAATTATTTGTACAAATGACCAACTGTCCAAGACAATCATTTGTACAAACGACCAACTGTCCAAGACAATCATTTGTACAAATGACCATCTGTCCAAGACAATCATTTGTACAAATGACCATCTGTCCAAGACAATCATTTGTACAAATGACCATCTGTCCAAGACAATCATTTGTACAAAAACAACCACTTTCCATTTCACCCATTTTGGTTTTTTGTATGGAAAATATTGACACAGTCCATGAGGACCACCTGTTTAAGATGGCCTCTGTTCTTCTCAACAATTGGTGGTTGTCTTGGACAGGTTCTAGCAGTCGTCATTTATAATCATCTTCATCATGAAGCCCTCCTATCCGAACTTATTATTTGACCTTATTGTGTTGCAAGTGCCGTAAAACTCATACTAAAACTGAACTGTCCGAACTTACTTGTCTGGGGTCTCCACTTTCTGCTTTCTGTGGGGTCGTGTGTGGGTCTCCTTGACGTCATCATGCTGCAAAGAGGTTTTTAAAAACTTGTTTTGAGAATTGGAAAAGCGATG